ATAACAAACTGCATTTCGGAGATAAATCCAGCAGAGCGTTGACAAATCCCCGTTTTCTTTTCAACTCATTTGAGATGACTCGTCTTGTGTAATCTGGACGACTGATTATTTTAATCAAAAGAAGCTGGCCAAGAATGTCACCAACGGGCGCCATTCCATCATGTGTACGAAGAAAACTCGCCATAAATTAGTATTCAAAAAAGCACCGAAAGGAAACCAGGCGCATTATTTTCCTTATTTGATTAATCCCGGCGGCTTTTGTCAAAAGAGCATTTTGTGACAAGAATAATCGGTCCGATAAAAACGTAACGAGACGGGATGATTTTTCCTTTAACAATTATAAAGACAACGCTTTTTTCATTTCCTTAAAACTCGCTCGCATTGATAAATGACACGTAAATGGGTTGGACGCAAGCGCTCCGTCACTCCAACATTCCTTTTCTAGTCGCTCGATCTCTCAGCAGAAATAATTGCACGTATTATAATCCGCAACATTAAGCCAGAAAAATCCATAGCGGCAGAAAAATGTGAAAGCTGCTCTTTCTTTTTTCTTTATTTATACATAAAATATATGAAGTGTGATGAAATTGCACTCTCCTTAATTATATAATCCTAGAGCAGCGCGTTTTCAAATGAAGCGTGCGAACACAATGTGGATTTTCGCGCAGCAATCAAACGATTACACTTGTGGACGGTGACGCCCTTTTAGCACCTGACTCTCAATCTGCAGCTTTTTCTTGTTGATCCTCTCGGCGATACAAACAATGCAGGAAATTATGCCCGCGACACAAAAGAAACAACTTGGATATTTGCTAATGTATTCATTTGGAATAACACTTAAACCGCTGCAGGTGCGGCATGTTTCTTTTTTTCTAAAAATTATCGCTAGAAGGTGATCTCTCTCCCGAACTAACAAGGATCGCGGCTTTAATTATAACGCTGTGTAATTATAATTGCAGGTGGACGAATTTAAAAAGAACAGCATTTTGGCTAAATTAGTACACATTCTTAAAAAGCAGTTGTTTTAATTTGGATGGTTATTAATTCAAAGAAAGAAGCTTTAACTCGGCTGCATATACACGTGTATAAATAATTTATCGAAAGGAGGCTTCGTGCGCAAGATAAATTAATTGAACGGTCTCTTATGGTTTGTTTGAAAGGTTAAAAAGGCTAAAAGCGGCGGCGGCGGCCCACTGGCCGAGAGCGTCACGTCGCTCTGCGGTTTTATTCATGTGTATTCCCAATAGCCATGCAGTGTGATGAATGGAAAAAAGTAACCGGCTAAGTGAATGTGAAAAAGTACAAGATAAAACATTTAACCACTAAGTGCACGTTTTTTCTATGAATTAAAGTAATGTTTTACCGCTATGAAATATTGCGTCAAGTATTACAATGAAGGAAAGAATTTTTTTAGCAGTTTAATGCTTCAAAAATATTATTATGCATGGTGTATTGCTATTGAAAATTGTAGGAGAATTTTGGATTCAATTTGAAAAATTTGCCTAAATGTGTTAAATAATCGTAAGGTGAGAAATGGGGTTTTCTTGATGTTCTTTTATGATCACTGAACGAAGCAAATAAATAGAATAGATCTATTTGTTTCTATTCCAGAGGAATAAAACTATGGAACAAAAATCAAACCTTTCCTTTATTATGGAAATGAAGATTCGGGCTTTTCCTCGTTGCAAAAAAATTGTTTTCATTCAAAAACAAACGGCTCTTGAATAAAAACAATTTTTTTGCAACGAGGAAAAGCCCGAATCATCTCCTCGAGTGTCAACTTCTTCACTCAAATCAAATTTGTTGGAAAAGATTTTTTTTAATGAAAATTAATTTTTAGACAATCCGGCGCAGGTATTTTGCTAATACTTTGGAAACAAAAAGACCCCACCCATCCGTTTATTTGTTTTCAATTCACAATTCCTTTTGTCAAAATCGAATTTTCTTTCTCAATTAAAACTGGTTTATTTATTAGCAGAGGTAAAAATGATTTAATGTTAACTTACCAATAGCCATACGAACTGTGAAAAAGGGAAACTTTTCATTCAATAGAAAAGCATTTTGATATTTATTTATTATTTATTTATTTATTCTCCACTCGATACAGTCATGTCATGAATACAGCAAAAAAAACTATACAGAAACAGTACAGAAAAAGCTGAAAATACATTTTAAAAGAGACATGATTTATACAATTAGTAATTTCGAAACAGTCAATATAATATGAACGATTTTTTTCTCACAAAAACTTTTGAGAAAATGACCGAATTTTTCACAGACTTGAAAAATAAATGAATTGAACTGCGAGAAAAGTGAGTGAGAATAATTTGTCGCCTTGACGCAGAGCTTGTCTATACTCGGAAAATGAATTCGCGCGTCTCGCTTTGAGACGCAATGGCACAAAATACTGGTTTGCGGCATAAATTAGAGGTGCAGGCCAATCAATCATCATCGCGCGCGATAATAGAGCAGTTACTACAATATTGCAAAAATAAATGAAGGGCGAAACGAAAAAGCGCGGTGCACGCATGTGGTGGTTCAACTGGTATTGCCTTAATAGGAATACGTCTCCGTACGCGCGTGTGAGTGTGTCTGAATGCGACACAGTCTCTCGTCCAGAATTTATGTACATAAAGTGTGGTTATTTGACCGCAACAGCGGCATACAAAATACATACACACACACACACGGGAGCTGCAACTCGTGAAATAATAACAACAATATATAGAAGAAAGAAACTGGATCGATAGGACAGGTGTGGTTGCGCGGTGCTGCTGCCGGACAGAGGCAATAACGGTAGAAATAAAAGCGAGGAGACGCTGCGCTGCTCACGGCGCATGATTCGCCTGCTTGCGAAATTAAATTGATTTTATCCGCCACTGGACGGACCTTGCCGCCTCTCCGTGCATTTTTTCTCTCCTCCCGACGCCGCTAAAACTCTCCACCACAAATTATACCAGAGGAGAATTTGCGCGCCATTTCCCAAATTAGAAATAAGGAAAATATTGTGAATATGGCTTTTCCTTTTGCAAATTTTCAGTCAATTGTGTTGCAATTTTCTCGTTTGAGAATAATTTTGATCTGATTTTTATTAGAAACGATTTATAGTAATTGAGAAAAAGTTATAAATCAGTTTGAATGGGTAAATTTTTTCAATTTAAAATGCAAAACATTAAAGCATTTTTGTGTGTGTCTGCTAAACCAAAAGCTTATCAAGTGAGCACCTTTTTCGAGAGGTAAAGGAGTTGATGAATATTAAAATTAATTGCGTCACTTCCAGAATTACAAATGTGAAAAAGATCAGAAAATAATGTTGGTGCCATCTGTTCAAAATTGTATGTCAATATAATAAAAAAAATGCCCTAATTTCCCTAATTTTTGTTTTATAATTAGTGTTATAAATTGTTCTTTATTTTTTTAAACATAAAATTCAACCAGAATAGTCATCTCTTGAATCTCTTTTTTGTTTAGAATCTAAGTGTTGCTAAGTGTCGAAGGAGATTTGGTTTATTCTGCTTTAATTGCATATTGAATTATTGATGAAAAGAAATGTTTATAAATTTAATTAAAAGTAATTACCAAAAAAATAACCAAAACAAATACTTTACCAGACTCTAAAATATATTATTTAATATTAATTCGTATAATTTGTTGAAAATTAAAATATATTTTTAATTTATTGACAATTTTTTTCTTAATAAACAAGCTGATTTGCAACACATGTGTATGAAGTGAAATGGATAATTTTGAAAATTCCTCTTGTTAACTTAGTTTTTAAAACTAGAACAGTTAACCATAAATTTTCCTATTCTTATTTAAAATAATGATTTTTTTTTTATTTTCTTCAACCTCAATTCGTCTACAGCATCACCATGTTCCAAAAACACAAGAAAGTCCACATTACGCATGATGTCATTGTGGAGACAGTGTGCAAAATTCGCGTACAGTCTGTGTGGTGACGCGAACGCAAACACATCCCACAAATTTGCGGCACGTCCCAAATAAATTGTTTTGCTCGGAGCGCATTTTCCAGCAGCAGCCGAAAAGGAATCCGTGATGCTTGGCTCTCGTCGCTGCTCGGTCTATTATTTAAGTGGCGGCCGAGTGTGCAAACATTTGCTTTTGTCATCAGCGAGCAGCCGCCACCGACTACTGTCTGTGTTTGTGCTCTTTACTCTTTAGCTGCTGCCGGGCCGAGGAGCACAAGAAAGGCACCTGTTATTTTAGAAATGCGGTAGCCTTGCATCATCATCACGGATGCCAAAGTCAAACACGCCGGCTCTAAATGCACCGCTGGGATCTGGAAACCGCGAGGCAAACAGTCCTGAACTGACCATTCGTTGGCAAACAAAGCCATTCAAATTAATCTGGCCCTCGAGAGAAAAGCGATGACTTGGGCCTACTCAAGTGCAAATTTGCCTCAACTAGAATCAAATAAGATTTTGTTTAATGGTTATTTTTTATTTCTATTTTTTTTCTCTCTATAAAGTCATTAGAATCTAATGAGATGTTAATTAAAAATTTAAAATATTTACTCTGCGTTATTCACTATTTTTGCAGATTTTAATTTCTTATAGCGATCAGTTTAATTAGCAAGAGGAAAATAACAATTACACAATTTTTTATTAATTGTAAATTTAACACTATCATACGTTTTTTTTTATCAAATAAAATCCCTCTTCTCGTATTTAAACGTTTGTTTGACTTATTGAATTCAAAAAATACAAATTTTCACGCCACACGCCAAACTAGAAAGTCATTAGCGGCCCACGGAAATATTTTTTTTTTTTTGCTCTCATGTCCACGTTTCATTCTGCATTAGGAGCCGTTTTGTAGCAAGAGGCAAACACACACTATTTCATTACCGCATGATTTATTAGCAATTTTAAATTGGTAGAAAATTGATTTATTTCTTACTCGGCGGCGCGTCTATTATAATACACGCCGGGCAGCACGACCGAGTATATTTTTTACTAATGAAAACCATTTGTGTGTTGCAGAGAGATCCCCCCGCGGTGCTGCTTCCTTGGCCGGCGCGAGATGCTGCCTTCGATGAGGTAGGAAAATGAGAAGCACATTTGCATTTCGCATTTATTTTCGCCAACGAATTATCTTCGTATTGACTTTTGTTTGATTATTTTAAGCCAAGGCAAATAATTTATGTCCAACAATTTTAGTACAAATGTTCTTCAAAATTTGATATATTATACAGAAATTTTTAAAGTATTTGCTAAACAAAAAATGAGTAATTTTACTAATCTTTAATTTATTAAATAATACATCTCAACGTTATTTCATATATTGTCGCTTATATGTATATTTCTTTTTATATTTTGAGGAAATAATTAAACAAAACTTCATAAACCTTCATTTGAAAACTTTTGCAATTTTAAAACATTTGTGTACGTGTGTGTACGTATTCAAAAAATTTTAACTACATATAATTTTATTCTTTTTAAAGACTTTATTTCAAAACATTTCATATTTACAATTTCATTTATATTATTTTATTATATAATAATTTTACTATATTTTATCATATTATATTCAATTTGCTATTCTTTTCTTATTATTATTATTATTATTATTTTATTTTATAAATTTTATGTCACAAAAATTTGATTTAAAGCAGTAGGCATTGAACATTGAATTAATGATATTATAACTTTAATCTATTAAACTTCGAGTAGTTGTTTGACTTCATTATTATTATTATTGATATTTATTTATCCGAGGAGTGAATTATATGACCTGCCAAGATTTCACTTATTCAATCGACATCATGCAAATCTGAAAACTGGATTTTCAATTGAAAATCGAGAAACATCCGGCTCGAGGCCGGGGAGACCTGCCGCTGGGAAAATTGTCACTCTCACTTCAAAAGCAGTTCAATTTCTCGCTCGATCTGTGGCGCGTCCTTCCCGTGCAAAAGCCGCCGAGAAAGCAGTTCCAGCAACCACAGGCGGAGAAACAATACCTCCTTAACAAGTATTTTTTTTTTTATCGATTTTAGTCAATGAGGGAAATAATTATGAGCGAGCTGAGGGCGCTGCCGGGTTCGTCAGCACCACATTTATTATCGAGCTCTCGGCTGACTAATCTCGAACAAATGCCCCTTGTGTGTCAAGAAAGACGTACACGAAACTGTCGGCGGGTCATGGAAGCCAAATTGCACGCATTGTCGCGCACCCCCGTGTGGGGGGATGTAATTCCGCGGCGCGACCCATAATCAGGTTGTCGACAGCAGATCCAAGTTAAACTGATGTTATATTTCAATAATAGTTAGTTTAAAGACTCTCTAATTTTTACACGTGCTAAATTATCAATTATATAATATGTGTATGTATTTTTTTCCTTACTGTATTATTAATAACATAAGTTCATATATTTATATTTATTCTTCGTCAATTATTGTAACATTAAAATTGATTCTTATTTACTTTAATTTTTTAGCTTTTTTCTTTTGATTTTTATTACAATCGTTTCACGTGATTAAATTTAATGCAAATAATTTTTTATTTGTCTAATTGGAATGATTTGTTAAATTGCATTCTTATGCTGAACTATTCAATTTCTTAATTTCGAATTTTAAATTAATTTTCATACTGAGCACAATGGCAGTAAAAAATATATCTTGTATCTGAATGGAGAATAAATAAATAAATAAATTTTTTTTAAATGTTTCTCCTCTAGACAATTTTTCACGCCTACATCCATCCTTCCTTGTAGCTCGACAGTTTTTCGTTTGGCATAAATTACACGAGCGCACACGTCAATTTGGAAAAGAAAGTTTCGCGAGTCCAATTTTCCACAAATGGAACTGATTTGTCAGCGCGCGCTGCAGGGATGTATAATGTATGCAACACACACAACGCACAAGCATGAGAGCATTTTTATGCTGAAAATAGAGGAGCTGTAATTTCTTGCGAGAAAAAATTCAGACACACGTGTGTTGACGACCGAGCAAGAGAGAAAAGTTTGAAAGAAGCAATTTTCTCCGCTTCTGCCGGTGGTGGAAAATTTTTCTCATTACATAAGCAGAGCGCGCAAAGACTTATTTTTCTTGGCAATATATGAATGTGTCAAATAAGCAGCCATTTGTGCTGCCGCTGGCGGGACTTGCCGCTGCGAAAAACAATTTCCATCCATCACATCTCACATACACACTCACATGTGTCCCCTTATTTGATATGGAGACCAATATCGAAGATTTTTTAAGAAAAAGATGGAAATGGAGAAGTATTATAATAATTGTTACCAATTCATGTTCGAGAAAAAATTTCATAATTTTGTCCGATTATTAATTAGCGATTTTGGCGATTAATTTTTGTTGTTGTGATAAGTGCAAATTAGCTTGCGGCCCATCTCGGCGCGGCCCTCTCTTGTGGTCCCGCGTTTTAGCAACTTGTTTGCCAGAGGTGTTGCCGTTTTTCAAATTTTGTAGTTTTTCTCTCATTTGACTTGATTTTGGAAGAATAAAAAATAATAATAATTTTTCATCTCTACCACCATCGACGGAGCATTGAAAGTGGATTTGAAAAGAGCTAGAGAGGAGCATGTTCTGACATAATAATGAGTTTCACCCCCTCGGTCGCTTCTCCTCCCTGTAATTTAGCGACTGCTGCGACAATGGCATTCAGATATGTAGGGTGAATAACACAAGCCAGCAAAGTGTATTTATTCTTTGTGTGCAGCGTGCCCTCTTATTGTGAATCAATGAGGCAATTTTTTATTTGCTTAAATAATGAGGTTTTCTCTTTTTCCACCGCAGGGCTGCCAGCTTTTTACAACTGAGAAGCCAGACCAAAATATTTATTTTGCTTTCAAAATGTATGTTTTCGTCAATTTCAGAATAATTGGAGTCTAAGAAAAGAAATATTAACCAATTTAAAATCAAACTTGTTCTTTATTTCATTTTTTTTCATTCCAAAGTTGAACTTGATTGAAGTAAATTAAACGATCTACTTAAAGTAGAATAACTTAATATTTTTCCAGATATCTTTTAAGTTTATCTTTTCAAAATTTGATACTATCTTTCATATCTCATCATCTCAAGATCGCAGCCACACAATGAGCAAAAATATAAAAACTTCAAGTATATATGAATGTACCAAAGGCGCACAATAGCGCGCAGGAAGAATAATAATTGTTGTGCGTGGAGCACCCGTGGCATCTGAAGCACCAGCATCCTCTCGCGCGTAATTATATCTCCCTTTGGTTTGTTCAAACCCACCCATGCACGTTGTTCGATCTCGAGATTTGCTGCCGCCGATGCCTATTGTGCGCGCGTCTCGCCGCCAACAAATAACAATTCACAATAACAAATATAATGAATTCCTCGGGTGACGGGAGTGAAATGTGCGCTGATTATTGCGCGATTCATGAGAGCTCGCGGATAATTAATGATCGAATTATTATGCGTGCATGTGAGCGGCGCCCTCAAAGTAAGTCGGTCTCAATGTTTTCCAAGGCAAAAGGCGTAGACATGTTCAATGGCACGCAGATTTTGGAGAGAGCAACAAAAGCTCGTGGGTGTATCGCAATAATTAATAATTCTCTTGTCATCTGTTGATTATAACTTATACTTAATTATATCATTCTTTTTTGAAGAGTTTCAATTTTACTCGTATATTATCTGAATAATTTCTTAATTTTAAAAATTGTTTTAGTTTTAGTGTTTATGAAAGTTTAAATCTTTTTTTAATAGTTTGATAATTAAATTAATTTTCTATCCATTTCTAACAGTTGCTTATGCCAATTTTGAGTTTAAATTGATATAACGCTGGCCTCATTTCACAATGTATTGATCACAATTTAAGTAAAACAGTTCAGGGATCCAAATATATGTATCAGGTTGATGATAATAGGTAATATATTAATTGATGAATAAATATTTTCATAAAATACGACATTGAATTAATTACAGATTAAAACTTAAATCTATAATCTGAAGTTGTCTAGTATATTGCCTTGGTTTTAAAGGCATACATACAGTTTTGTGATAGAGAAAAATGAAATAAAATTGTAGTCTTGTGCAGTCCTTGTGATGACTAAAAAAAAATCATCTCCATCTTCATGATTTAACTGTATCTATTTTAGTTAAACACAAAATATTGAATTTTGAAAATTGAAGAGATTTTAATATTCTTTTATGCCTACAAATCATGGCAGTTTCCACTTTTATACCCAAAGGAGAACACTGCCGTGGGGCTACCGTTTGTTGGTGCCGAGCCGCCATACCGGCTGTTAATAACAACAATAATGATTGTGTGTGTGCGCAAAAGTTCTGCGAATTGACAGAATAATGGGACTCGAGAAACAGGAGCATGTGTGAGTTGTGCTTGGGTGAAATTGGCTCTCGTTCGAGCTGCTGCGAGCGCAGAATTAACAGCTTGGCTAGTGTTGTTTGCAGCTTTGTTGAAACGTAATCACCGCGCGAGTCAAGTACACTTCGCAATAATTATAGAAAGTTACCCACACACACATCTCTTACAAGAAAGGCTCTTTGTCCGCGCGCAATTTTCGGATGTGTGCCAGTGATTAGTAACGTCTAATTCGCGTTGCGTTTGAAACCGAAATTTGTGAAAATTGTCGTTGCTTCAGGAGAAGAAAATTAAAATCGAAAGGAAATCGTGGAAATGTTTGTGTAAATAGAGTATTTATAATAACAAAAATTTGAAATTATAATGAGTATTAACACAGCTCGGCAGACACCGAAAAAACAAAAGTTTGGTAGAATTTACACAAAAATATGTTGTCAAAATTGTATATTATATAAAATTGCTATTTAATTCCTTAAATTAAACACAGTAATTTAGAGGATCCACTGCTAAAAAGTTGCTCAAAACTGGAAATTCCATATTAAAAAATTAAGAAAATTGTGCCGAGATTGGCTTTTAAAAATATTACCTCTTTTTTATTTTTTTTTTCAATGTGTTGCTTTTTTTTCAAAATTATTGGATGAAATGAAAGTTTTGCAAAATATTTGCTTCAAATTGAATTTTTTAAATTCCAAGAACCTAAAATTAAACTGACTGTAAAAAGGTGGTCCAATTTG